GACTAAGTCCCATGGCCGAATGGGACTTAGTCTCTGCAGCTGAAATAAGGCTGAAAAAAACGGCTGAAAAAAAGACTAAGTCCCATCGCCGAATGGGACTTAGTCTCTGCAGCTGAAATAATTTCCCATTTACTGAACCAAGTGGGAAATAGCAAGGCAGGCACAAAGGGTTTGCACCAGGTCTGGGGACACAGGGGACACCGTCTTAAAGGGGCCGTGTCCCCAACAAGTCTGGGGACACGGCCTTAAAGGGGCAGTGTCCCAATCTTCCTGATGTCCCAAAAAAGGTGTTTAAAGGGCCAGCACCAGTCACATAAAGAGTCCATAAGCCCCAATATGCCCACCGACAGTCTTAAAGGGCCATACACACCAAATAAAAGTGCATACATTTTCACAATCTCCCAGGGGCCATAGTCATGCGGGAGGAGGCTGGCAAATAGGCTTCTCCACAACCCAGGGAAGCAGGGCAATTTGCCATTTAAAGGGCCCGTTACAAATAGCAGTTTGTAACAAGGTGTCAATCCATATCTGCCAAGTGACCCGATGTAGGGGACCAGTCCCTATTCTGCTCTGTGTCAGTGTGTACCAGGGAACCTTAGGACAGGTGTCAATCCATATCTGCCAAGTGACCCGATGTAGGGGGAACAGTCCCTATTCTGCTCTGTGTCAGTGTGTATCAGGGATCCTTAGGACAGGTGTCAATCCATATCTGCCAAGTGACCCTATGTAGGGGGACCAGTCTCTATTCTGCTCTGTGTCCATGTGCATCAGGGGCTCTGAGGACAGGTGTCAATCCATATGTCAAGGTGTCAATATGTCATATGTCAGGTGTCAATCCATATTGATTGTGATTTAGGAATGTTAGGTGATTTCTGCCCTTTATGGATTAAAACCAGACTCTGTATCAACTGTGTAATTTTCCATGGGAGTTTTGCCATGGATCCCCCTCCGGCATGCCACAGTCCAGGTGTTAGTCCCCTTGAAACAACTTTTCCATCCCTATTGTGGCCAGAAAGAGTCCCTGTGTGTTTTAAAATTCGCCTCCCCATTGAAGTCATTTGCGGAAGTTCGCGTTCGCCGTTCGCGAACCGAAAATTTCGGATTCGCGACATCACTACTGTAGCATAACCAGCTTGTTCAGTACAAAACAGGGTGAAAGGCTTTCTGTAGTCTGGGAGACCCAGTGCCGAAGCTGAATTGACAAGCAACTTAAGAGTGTAAAATGCTTCCTCTGCTGCAGTGGTTAACTGAAAGGGTTCGTGGGTGAGGCAATCATACAGAGGTTGAATGTAGATTGCTGCAGAGCAAAGCCAAGCACGACCATAGGAAACCAGGCCCAGGAATGTACGTAGCTGGGCTAGGCTGCAGGGAGGGTTAATTTGTTCAACAACGTTTTCCTGTCGTTTTAGAGATGTTTTGCAGCATGAGAGATACAGTGTCCTAAAAAGATACCAGTCAGAACACATGCCTGCAGTTTGGCTTTGGTAGCTTTGCATCCTGCTTGTGCCAGAAAATTCAGCAAGGACAGAGTGTGCACAGTTCAATACTTGATATCTGCGCAGCACAATAGTCATCAACATATTGCAGTAAAACAACATTATCTGCCTTTTGCCAGGATTCTAAAATGTGGGCCATAGCCATGCTGTTTACAATTATTTTAGCCGAAATGGGGCCAGCTTTTGGCGACAATCTGTTTGAAATCCATCTAAATTCACTGGTACATAGCGTGAATGGTGGATAGAGACTGGACTAGAGCTAAGGGGGCCTTTTCTACATCTGGCAGATGCTGTATTATTGCCAGTTGTTCACTAGGTGTACAGGGCTTATATTCTTCCCGGTATTGGATACCTGAGCTCGGCTGTCTCTTCTCATGGTATAGTCTATCAACTTTGGGTATGATGGCAGTAGTAAATTGTAAAGCTAATGGCCCCACTGGGGCATCTAGGGGGGCAACTAGGGGCTCATTTAAGTCCGGTGGACTACCCTCTTCCTTTAATGAACCCATAGGTCTTACTGGGGTGGCTGGGGAACCATATGCATAACATTACTTTAAAGAGAGGTTCTGATTTCTGTAAAAGGGCCAATATGTGAGCTGGGGGTTTAGGTAAATCACAACTTGTATACTTTTCCTCCCACCAAGAATTTGTCCATTTGCACCGTGGACAGATCCAATATTCTTTCTGACTAGTGATAGTAGAACCAAGAGATGTGTGATTTTGGGAAATCGCCTGGTCTTTAGGGACCAAAGGAGTTCCTGCCTTACCCGGGTAAGGGGAGGGTTTTCAAGATTTTTCCCAGGATTTTGCCTACTCTGGGACCCTAGGCATCCAAAACATTGATAATATGGTATACCTTTTCTGGTGGTTTCTCTACAACCACATTTAGTTAATTCAACTGCAGTGTCATGCCATTTTGGGTGATTTCTAAGTCATTATCTTCTAACCATCCTTTATATTTTGCTACAAACTCTTTACATATCTGTGGATCTAGGGTGCCCTCTGGGGGCATACAAGCTTTCTTAAAGGGACACTATAGTCACCAGAACAACTACAGCTTATTGCATTTGTTCTGGTGAGTATAATCATTACCTTCAGGCCTTTTGCTGTAAACACTGTCTTTTCAGAGAAAATGCAGTGTTTACATTACAGCCTAGTGATAACTTCACTGGCCACTCCTCAGATGGCTGTTAGAGATCGTTCCTGGGTCATGGCTGCCTAAAATGCATCCAAACATTCAGTGTCTCCACCCTTTGCATGCAGACACTGAACTTACCTCATAGAGATTCATTGATTCAATTCATCTCTATGAGGAGATGCTGATTGGCCAGGGCTGTGTTTGAATTGTGCTGGCCCTGCCCCTGATCTGCCTCCTTCACAGTCTCAGCCAATCCTATGGGGAAGCATTGTGATTGGATCAGGCCACCACTTCTGCTGATGTCAGCAGGCAGTGGCAGGTCTAAACGAAATAGGGACAAAGCATGCTGCTCCAGACTTGAATACAAGTAAGATTTTACAATATTCAGGGAGGCAAGAGGGGGCAAGGGGTGCTAGATGGTGGTTTTAACCCTATAGGGTCAGGAATACATGTTTGTGTTCCTGACACTATAGTGCTCCTTTAACCCCTTAAGGACCAAACTTCTGGAATAAAAGGGAATCATGACATGTCACACATGTCATGTGTCCTTAAGGGGTTAAGTAAATTCTTTATTTTCTTAGTAGCACCTTGTCCTTTATGATACTTGACTATAGTCAAAGCTGTATACTCCTCCTGGGTACTCTGAGAGTTACCCATCTTAAAACTTGTAAGGGTTAATTGCTTCCTTACACAAGACAAACTGTACAAACAGTGCAAAATACTTAGGACCACTGCAGTGGAACTTTCACAGTCTTGTCTTAGTTATTCTAAACACAGATCAGGAGATCTGCCCTGGAGGGTTCTGATCTTAATCAAAAAGTAAATGACAAGGCAGACAAAGAAAAGAACTTGGAATCCACATATGTATTTTACAGTTTCTAGATTTCTTTCACAGGACATTTATAATTCCACCTGAATATAATAAAACCCTTAAAACAGTTCTTTGGATCTGACTTTTTTAAGTCGTTCCTTACCCAGACAAACTAGTAGGACGTGGATCTGAGAGCAAAATTGATATAGGTAGAAAATAAAAGTTTTTATTACCTTGCTGCAGCTGATTTCATGGTCAGAGGGACGTCAACCTGTGTCCTAGTGTCTGAGTCTTCCGACCGTCAGATCCGGGTCACAGCACCAATTGTCATAGATCAAATATCAATCCTTGTTATATTCAGGGAACCCAAATTGTATCAAGTGCCCTTGGAGAAGCGTGAATCAGACACCAGACATATATGTTCTCACATAAATATATAAAAATATATGTTCTCACATGTTTCTCTGAACTTGAGGGCAGTAGGCTCTTTCTCCAAAATATGTCACGTAGAAGCAATATCAGTGGGCAACACAGCCTTTTAATTGTTTTTCAACTTCTTTTTTCCTTTGACCTTTGAGTACTTGAAAAGGGAATCAAGTCACTTTCTCAAGTAGCATATTTTTTATTTACCGACACACTAGTACAGAGTAACAACGATATTTACTAAAGTGAGAATTCAAAGTGAACTTTAAATTTAAGGCCATAGTAGTTAAACTGAAAGCATAGCTGAATTAGCAAGTTTTTCCAATTCGGTTATTTTTATCCTAAAATTTGAAATTCTCTTTTAATTCTCACATTACTGAAAAACCGTATAAATTATTCCAGGAGTACCTGTTTTCTAATTTTGGTTTATTTTTCCCATTCCCCTTCACCTGTTGCTCCATCATCAGATCTATTGTACCGTTTAACCAATTTTTAACCAGTTTCCTGTCCTCTTTAAAATGTATTAACTGTTAATCACAATCGAACTGAATTGGAAATAACCACTATAGTGCAATGATAATTTAAACGAAAAATAGAAAAATGAAAACCCAAATCACCGTTTCCAAACGGTCTTATTTTTATATCCTATGGTATTACTATCGTAACTGTTAATGAGCCAATCAAAAGTGTATATCTGTCCGTTATTTTCGCGCCAAAGGAGAGTGGGCGTGTTAGTTCAATAAATTCAAACGCACCAATCAGAGCCGGTTTCATAATGAAACAATCAACGGCTCCGGATGATTAACCCATTCCTATGTGGGATTGTAAAGCCGCAATAGTTTGAAGTTGTTCGTAATAGAGATGGTCCTCTATATGGTGAAAATGCCAATTACAGTA